ATCATATACAGGTCCAGTGCTGGTGATAATGTTTCTGTTAGTTCGTCTGGTAGTGAGAGCTTACAAGAGGCTGAGACCAAGAGCCTAACACAGCTCAGTGCTAGTCTAGGCAGCATGGGTAGTACTTCCATTGCTAGACCAGGTAAGATTTGTATTTATGTTATTTCATTATTTTTATTTATTTCAAAAACACATAGCTTGGACGTTTGACTGTTCATGTTTACTAGTATAGTAAAATACAATAATTTCAGATTTCTTGGATGAAAATAAAAAGTAGCATAAACTTAAAATCTTGGATTTTTATTAGAGATTATGAAGTAGTAGATTAACATACTCATTTTAAAGAAATTAGAATGAACTGACCTACTAATTAAGACCTGCTAACATCAATACATTATTAGTAAAGATCAGAAATCCAGTACTAACATTAATTCATTTTTCATACTGTGGTACATTAAATAACAAAAAATTGAGACATTTTATACCATTTTAAATGTGTGGCTTTGATTTTGGGTTAACTGGTTTCCGTGGTTATATTTTAAGACAAACATATAATCTTGTTATTCAAATTAGAATTTTAGAATGGAAAATGCGCATATACTGTTTTTATATATTTAATGAATTGGAACAAATAATTTTAGTGTTCGAATTACAAACTTTGTATTTTTTAATAAAATTACTAGAAAAATAGTATTCCCTGCCAATGTATGCAGTAGATGCATAAATAGTACAATTAGTATTTTCTTTGCAATAGTCCCTTAAATTAGATCACATAAAGTGTTATAACATTACCTGCATTTATTGAATTGAAATTTCGGTGCAGAATATAAAGTGGTGCTGAAACTATAATATTCTAATTACAGAAGAATTATATCCATACTACTACACTACATCATTAATATGTGATGATAATCAACTAATGTGTAAGTCTTAAAACAATTAAATTCTTAGTTGTATGCTGCTTTGGTGCCTGTTTTGTAGTAATCAATTTTTGGTTTTTATTCTTTTGTATGGTTTTATACTTATTTCTTTGATATATTTAATAAATACTAATATAAACATTCCCTTTGATTGTTTAAAAAACATTAATGCTCTGTCCTCACTACATAGTTTTTGTGACAAATACCAAAGATTTGCCCAAATATGGTTGTAATATGACATCATAATTCGTTTATATACAAAATTGGCAGATACTTGCATAAAACACATCATAGTGTAGCCACTGAGGGTGCCATTTTGCGTATTAATCTTGTAGATAACCTGAGAATTTTATATTTCGAATTTAATATAGTGGCGACCCTGCCAGCACAGAATATGTAGCTTTTTGGTCAAAATGCTTGTTTTCCGATTCTAGGCTTTAAATCCTGTGACACCAGTATTTTTTCTCACCACTAAAAGCCACTGCATTCCCTAAACCATAGTCAGACTTAATGGTAACAATGGTACAAAATTTGATTACTGGTATGTGGCTTTTATAAAATATTGATACAATAATAAATTTTAATAAGCAATTTTTGTAAACAGATGCCAGCAGGCTACCTTCTCGCTTGAATCAACCCTAGCATGCTTTTTTTATTCAGGGTACGCACTTTCTGTTCCTTTGATTATTCAATTTTAAATGTTTGTTTATTTTTATTTTTTTAACTTGGTTGTACTTAGTGTTTGTATTATGTATGTTCTATCTAGAGTCTGGTGAAATGTCTGTTTATTTTCTAACACTTGGTATTGAAGAGTTTTCAAACTCTAAAGGTAGCTTGAAACCCTCCATTTTATTACTTGATTTCCATGCATTGTTATGTCATCTCTTGTTGAATCTTGTTCCATTTCTCTTGATTGCTGTGCTCAACATGTTTTTTACACAGTTTAAGACTTTATGTGAATGGTTGAAGAAGGTAATGAGGTTGATGGTGATGGTAAAAGACAGTTTCTACTGTTTAAGACACTATAAAAGTACATGACCATTGTTGATGATGATAATATTGATAGTGATGATAATGGTGATATTTGATGTTTAGGGTAATGATGATGATGATTACAATGATGGTAAAGTTGATGATGATAATGATTATAATAATGATGTTCATTGTCTTGCATCAGATTCTTCATAGTTTGCATCATGCTTGTTTCATTTCTTATAAGAGCAAAATTATTGAGATTTTGGCATGCTTCTTAATATCTAATTGAATTTTCATTATATTAATAGTAATTATTTATCAAAATTATACTCTTTTAATTCTACCAGATGACAAGAGTGGTGATATGAAGCTGCCATTGCAATTACAACCAGCGTTGATCACAGTGTTCAACGACAGGAGTGAAGATGGTGTTTCCCCAAAGGAAAAAGTCAAGGAACACTTATGGAGTGTACATTTTAAGGAATATGGAAGGTAGGATTAACTAATACATTTATAATGAAGGCAAGATCTTAATATAATGGAGCTATATACTGTAGTGAAGTTTAGCATGTGGTAAAATGCTTACCTTCCATTCCTAGGGTCTTGTGTTCAAGTCCTTTTGAGTTATAAGATTTTTCCTTTTAACCAAAAAGAAGACTTAATTTATGTAGGGAATCGTATGTGTAATTGCCACTTAAAATCATAAGACAGTAATGTATTGGCAATCTTTGGTCCATGAGCCAAACTAAATAAATATACAAAATTTAATGAGCGAGTAATGATGATCTGAAATAAGTTATTCTTATTGGCATACAAGTTTTGTTTGATTTATTTCTGTTTGTGTTAAAATGCACCAAAAAAGGCGGTTGTGGTGAGGGGAAGAAAGAGACTGCCTTATGCCAAATGAAAATATAAAATTACTGTTGAGGTGGTCACCAAATTGATATATTACCTAAAACTGAATCCCGCATATTAATTAGTGCAATTTTTATTTTTATTTCTGAAGGGGTATATGTATGTACAGGACAATAGAAACACACAAATTAATTATCAAGGGCATTCCTGAGAGTCTTAAAGGAGAAATATGGATGTTGTTCTCTGGAGCTATCAATGAGGTAAGCATGTGTTGAATAAATAAAAAATAAATAAAAAAATGAGGGCTAGCTGGGGGATGAATGAATATCCCTTTAAGCATACAGCCCTAAAATGAAAGATGAGTAAAAAATATTTTTTGAACAAAAGAAATATGCTGCTTCGAGAGATAGTAATAGTACAGATTAAGAGAGGAATAAATACAGTCCAATTAGCCAGAGACACTGGCATGTGTAGGAGTACTGACATGTGGGAGAGGCTGAATGGAGTACAGTAAGAAATTAGGAGGATGCTAGATGGGGGAATGCAGTGGTATAAGGAGATTTTTTTAATTTTTCCATGTTGGTGTGGTGGGAATGGGGCCTTCTGGGGTGCAGATGGTTTTTCTTCCCCATCCTGTTCCCCATCCTGTTTTCTTGATACACCACTCGCATTGGATGAGATCAGTATATTATGTCATGAAAAGGAATAAATGTTTGCTGCTAAAAGTGGTAGCAATGAGTTTAATTGAGGTTTGGAGTAGTCTTTAGCAACTCTTAATGATTTTTTCTATATGGTAGGTTTATGTGTATGTATTATTTCATATTATTTACCTGCAATTTTTTTGTCGTAGATGGCTACCCATCCTGGTTATTATCTATCACTTGTGGAACAGAGTTTAGGAAAAGAAAATATAGCAACAGAAGAGATTGAGCGTGACTTGCATCGGTCGCTACCTGAGCATCCAGCATTTCAGTCTGAGTTAGGGATTGCTGCTTTGAGACGTGTCTTAACAGCGTATGCCTTCAGGAACCCAACAATAGGTAATGAAGCATACATCATCATCATAATCATTATCATATTCATCATCATTTAACCTCATCAGAATCATGATTATTATCCTCATTATTGTTCATCTTTGTCATTGTTATATATATTATTATCACGATCATCATTATCATGATCAATTAATATCATAATTATCATCATCATCATTGTCATGATTATTGTCCTTATTTTCATCATCAGGGTTTTTTGATAACTTAGGCAGTTCCTCCTCCTAGCCCTTTACAAAAACATTGAGAAAAATATAACAAAATAGCAAAAAAGGATTTCATTGTTTTTTTAGGCTACTGTCAGGCAATGAACATTGTGACATCTGTCTTGCTTCTTTATGCAAATGAGGAAGAAGCATTTTGGTTGCTAGTGGCGATCTGTGAACGGCTTCTTCCTGACTACTACAACACACGTGTGGTTGGAGCTCTGATTGATCAAGGTAGGCAAGCCAAGCATCAAAGGTGTTTTATTCTTATTATATCAGGTAGTAGCGACCTGTATGTACTAGGTTATCTGTGATAGTTCACGCAGGTGTTTTATGTTTTGTTTTTTTCAGGTGTGTTTGAGAGATTAACCAAAGAATATTTACCGCAACTATATGATCAAATGAAGGACTTGGGAATACTGAGTATGATATCACTCTCATGGTTTTTGACAATATTTTTGAGGTACAGTGTTTTTGAGATATCAATAGTAATACTAATAATAATAACAGCATAGATACTAAACTTAATATCAAAGTTCACTATCTTCAGAAATGGAAAGATGATAATAATGCACAATTTCCATAGCACATATGGCAATATACTGCATATATGTGCTTTACATTATTACCTCTGGCCATTGAATCAATCACTTGTGGAACATACGTTCATTTTTCTAGTAAGCACCCTTCCATAAGCAGCAGGAATTGGCATATAGTGTTGGTGTTAACAGCAAGGATAATTATTTTAATTTTAGTAATAATAACATCAGTGTCCGTTTATGAAAGAACATAGCAGTCCTTTAATTATACTCTTAATACATCCACCAGTAAAATATTATATAAATTTATGTATTGATTATTGATTGATTGATTGATTGATTGATTGATTGATTGATTTCCTCCTACCAGTGTGATGCCATTTGACAGTGCTGTCAACATTATTGACTGTTTTTTCTTCGATGGTGCCAAGATCATCTTCCAGATTGCTCTAGCTGTTTTGGATGCGAACAGCGAGAAGCTTATCGATTGTACAGATGATGGTCAAGCCATGACTATCCTCAGTCGTTATCTTGAGAATGTTTACAATCATGATGCAACCTTACAACAGTCGCACGAAGAACGACAGGAGGAAGAAATGAAACAAGTAAGTCTATATTAATATTTGTATTGTATCTCATTGAAATTGAATAACAAACAAATAACAACAAAAGTTCAACATCTTGTTTTCTATATAGTACATGTCTATAGTAATTTTTTTTTTCTTGTAATCTAAATAAGTGCATTAATTATCTTTTTTTATATTTTATTTTGATAATTTTTAATAAAATTCACAATTGATGTCAAGCTGACCATGTAGGCTAGGTCTAAATGTTAAAAAAATTAAAACAAGCATGTTTCTGCAGAACAACTGCCATCTTCAGTGTAACCATGGAGGATATGTATTTTCTCCATGGTGTAACAATGTATACAAGCAGATTCTAGTATTTATAAGAATGAACAAATGTGATGAAATTTCATGATAAATAAGCGAACTGAAGTGTATGAAAGGAAGACAGGAATTTAGATGAAGAAATACTGTACATAAGAACAAATGGAATCTCTACTTAATAATCATTATATATGAAAACTAAAATTAATTTATTATCTTTATTGAAAGATTTATTTTTAATATTACACACAATATAATTGTTGATTTATTTAACAATATTTTTTTTAATGTTTCCACAGCAACATAGCAATGACATCACAGATCTGATCGACGAGTCATACATAAATTTTGGATTTCTAACAAATGATATGATTGAGAAGATGCGTCTTAATCAGAGGTTAAAGGTTGTGCAGGAATTAGAAGACTCGGCACGCAGGACGGTGGTTCGTAGCTTGACTCCTGAATCATGTTTTAGCCAAAGGGAGCTTGAAGAGCTTTACCTGTTATTTAAGGTATTTAAAATGATATAATGCTCAAAATAGTATAAATAAATATATAAATATCCCCATGACATTACCATCCCAATAATGACATGACCATTCCCATCATGATATCTCCAACATAACACCATCATTCCCAACATGACATCATTGTCCCACTCATGACATCGCCACATCCATCATGCCATCACCATCCCCATTCCCATGATGACATCACCATATCCATCATGACATCATCGTTCCCATGATGACATCACCATTCCTATCATGACATCACTGTCCATATCATGGCATTACCACACATCTAGATGTGTATAAGAGACAGGGGGATATGTATGTACAGGACAATAGAAACACACAAATTAATTATCAAGGGCATTCCTGAGAGTCTTAAAGGAGAAATATGGATGTTGTTCTCTGGAGCTATCAATGAGGTAAGCATGTGTTGAATAAATAAAAAATAAATAAAAAAATGAGGGCTAGCTGGGGGATGTTACTCAGTTTAACATTTAGTGACAGTATGCTGGTTTTGGGACAGCAAGCCTCATTTGGTCATGAATAATTATGTTTTTATATATTCTAACTAATCAATAATCAATAAATGTTTGCTGGCACTGTGTCTTTTACTCAGCATGACATATCAATATTACTATTATGTTTGCTAAGTGCATTGACTCTGGTAAACATAATCAAACTATTTAGGTGTTGTACACATACATGTGACCTTGAGTTTGTGAGGGAGGATTAAAAATAAACTCAAATAGACAAATTATTTAAATTGACTTTCTTACTTATATTGTAGAAAATGGTGCAACTGATGAGGAACTTTCAGCATCTGAAGGTGAAACAACTGATTCTGCTGTTGAAGCCACTAGTTTCTTTGAACCGCAGGCTGATGCTGACCAGAATCATGCAACGTCCAGTGCTATCGACGTGGAAGGTGAAAGGGTCAGTAGGCTTCTCATCTTTTATTAAATTCAGAGAGAGTTGTTGCCTTTTGGTGCTTCAAAGCGCATTTCAAAGCACCAATCCCATATTAAACTGCTAAAAGTTACAAATTATTTTGCGAAGTGAAAGCTGCAACCATGCGGTGCTCTGTTTTTGTTTGCTACCTCGTAGCTATGCAATTTCAAGATGAATAATGTTTATCTCTTTTTATTTAAATATTACAGAAAAATTATGTTACCAATAATGTACAAGATAAGCCTTCAGTAGCTGACAATAACCTTTCACCTGGGGTTGAGATAGACGGTAGTGAAGAATTAAGTTCCATGGGGGATGCTGAAATTCCAACAGTGTTACTAGAGGGATCAAGTGGTATAGAACTCACTGATTTAGGTATTGATGATAACAATTATTATTTCAATGACAATGAGGATTATATGACACTTAGTAATATAATAATATGGCAGTGTTAGGCTCTGTTTAAACTATAAAGTTATGTGACAACACCTGAGATTAGCCCATATATTGGTATGTGACATCCTTATGCCCACGTATGCGAAATAAAATTTGTCATTTATAAACTAAATAGTGTGGACACAGTGATAAATAACCCATCATGCCATTGCCTCTATGTGTACCTCATTACCCCATTCATTAGATTAAACTCCTATAATACACAGTGGCAGACTTAACAGGGGCCCAGCCGGCCCAGGCCCCCTAAATTTGTCAAAATTATAATAAAAAATAGAGAAAAAAAAGAACTTTTGGGACTTCTGGCTCACTGAGTCATAGAGGCAATTGCTTCTTTAGAAGTCCCAGGGCATTGTGTCTAATAAATAAATGAAATGAAATGAAAATTATATTCAAAAGTCTGAGAGTGCCATTTCTGGCCATTTAGAAGTGCCATAATCATAAATTTTCTTACCTCAGTCCCAACCATAGTGGGACTGAGGTGGTGTAGACTATCCATCTGTGAAAGTCCCTCCCTGCCCCCCCCCCCTCTCTATTTCAAATTCCTGGATCAACCACTGATACACATACAGAACTCATCTCTGTGGATTTGTTCCATGATGTTGCAGTCCAGTAATTAGGACACTGGTATTCAGACATACCAGGCATGCCCTTGTGGGTGTATGGAGTCAATGTGTTACCTATCAGTATTTGTATAACATTCAGTTATGAATGATTCCTGATGATGACATAATTAATGTCGAAATATTGAATCCCAACACGATGGCGTGTATTTCAATACTTGGAGTATGTATTATACTTTCATAACATTCAGTGTACATGCATATGTTACACATGATTGCATATACTTACAGTACAGTACGGTTTCAAAATGTTTGCCTAAGAAGTACCTAAACATAATGCATGTAATGTAATAACAATGTAACAAAATTGTGATTTGTAGTTTTTAAATGTAAATCATTTTTAGATATATGTAAACATAATACAGTGTAAAGATATAAAACTTGATAATTGCAAGTCTCACAACTTAATCTTTGATCTTTGTCATGGCTTTGTGGGAGCTCTTTATACATTTAGTCATAATGTTAATCTTGGGCATATTCTGAGATTTACTGATTTGATAAAAAAAAAAAAAAAGCATTATAAAGCCTGCTTCATTCTTATTGATCATGTTTTAATCAGGTCATCTTTCTTTTCAGGACAAAAGAGAAGACAGGCTGAGAAGGAAGGATACCAGTCCATCTTGCTAAAATGGGAAAGGGAAAGAGAAGAGGAGGAGAAAAGGAAGAGCTACAAGAACCTGCCAATGATGTATCAGGTATGATAATGATAAGAAGGAAGATGACAACTATAACAACAGTTTGAATAATGATAATTCTCACAACTAAACCACCTCTATTCATTATGAGACTTGGGGACCGTTCGAGCGAAAAACGCCAACCGTATTCTTTTTATTTCACCGGTTAATCTCGCTGAGCACTCAGCGGGAGTTCGCCCGATCGAGCAAGTTTTAGCTCACGGTAAACACTGTGTAACAAAACTACTCCGGAAGTAAACTCCAACTTATCCCATGGTCAACTCCATTCTTTGTTTACTTTCTACTGCTGCTAATACCCGCCCACATACACTCGGGAATGGTATTTGAGCTCAACAACTTATAAATGCTGCTTTAAAATCTGTACATAGGCTAGTATATTCAAGACTATTTCTTTGAATAATGGTAAATCTCTACAAATCGAACGTGTACCTGTGCTACTGGCCACCTTTATGGCTCCAATGATGTGATGTAATGATGATGGATTGACTGTTCAATCCAACTTCGATTTCATAGTGCATGTGAGGAGGTGAATCATTCCATACACAGTATTCTACCCAGCAATTTTGTGGTTGAAATTGTCGTGGATAATCCAGATGGTAAGGTAAATAGGCTAGTGTCCGAGCGGTTATAGAAAGTGTGTACCGGTGAATTAACTGGTAAATCGCAGGGATACTTTTTGGCTCGAACTGGTCCTTGGTTATTAAACATAACTGGGCCGTGTGGGAAAACACTAGATATCTACTTAACAGGATACCCAGTAATTTATAAGATCTGTTTCTAGTTGGAAGTTACTAATCTTTTGAATGAGCTATTTAATTATTTTTATTGAATTTTTAATGTTTTTCAGGACCAGTTTATTCAGTTGTTGAAAACCATGTATGGCATGTTTGCGGAACGACCGAATGAACAAAAACTTTATGGTGCATTAGCAAACGCTGGGTCTGTCCTTTTTGAGATGGGTGAAGTTGGTAAACGGTTCTACAAGAGAGGTGGTGTCCATAGCAATGAACCTAGTAGTAGCAGTTCAACACCCGTGGTAGAAGAACCACCTATGGGAGATGAAAAGCAAACAACAGAGGAGGAAAATAAGGTGGAGGTTAAATTGGATGAAAAGATTGATGCAACAGAGGAATTAGAGAAAGGAGGTGACGATGAAAAAGAGGAAATAACAGCAAATGATATAAAAGATGAAGATAATATTAATAACACACTGAATCCCAATGTGGATAATATAGAAAATGAAAATGTAGAACCTAGCAGTGTTAATGCAGTACTGGAAGAATTTCCTGCATCTTGTGAGGAAAGTATAAGCAATAATGATGACAACGAATCAGCCAATCAGAGTGCTAATAACAGGGATGATGAAATTTTGAAGGAAAGCGATGCAAGGGAAGGTCAGGAATCACCTGAGGGTGATGTAAAGAGGCCGACGTCTTTCCCCAAACCTGTTGGGAAGCTGGACACGGAATGGGCTATCACATTTGAACAGTTTCTTGCTTCCATGTTGATGGAACCGGAATTAGTCAACTATTTTGAAGAAGCACCAGATATTTTACCATTGATGGAAGCATATAGAAGCAAGAAAGCGCTTCAGAGACAACTTAGTGAGAGTTTTTCTGGGTCAACATAGCAGAATGCATTCAAGAAATGCATGGTAGGGTCTGCATGGAATTTAGAACAGGGGCGGATCCACAGGGGGCACGTGTAGTGTAGTAGATTTAGTTTTGCCACTAAATTTTAAAATATATTGAAATGAGCACTCTCACTTATCTATTCTGAATATGTTGTGCCCCCTGTTTAAAAACATTCTGGGTCTCCCCCTGTAGAATTATTTCAAACAGGAATTATAGACAGTTAGCAATCAGAATGTCCTCTTAGTTGTTCTCAGCCAAACAAAAGAAATGTTCATTCCTTGATTTCCTTGATATCTACATTGACTTTTGGACACAAGAATGAAAAATTGAAAATATACATGGACACAGTTTAGTGCCTGGTATTTGAACTTTGAACTTGATTTATACCTAAGCCTACTTACACTTAGTCTACTTTCACCTTTATTACTATTTGAATATTATAAGAAATTAAAAGGGCTACCTTTTTTAATCATAGTTATTATTATTATGGTGGTAAGGGAATTGGATACAGACTGTTGGGAGTAAAGTTGCAGCCAAATGCACATTTTATAAGAATTTTTGTCTTTATTTTTATCTAAATAAATATAGATTTACTATTTATAAAACATTTATATATAGCAAAGTTGGTTGAAATGTTATTTGTTAAACAGTATATTGATTTCAATTACAAAATGTAGTTATGTTTGCTATTTGCGACAGTGCCTTTATAATTCAAGATAAAATTATTAATTATATTCTACTGTATAAAGTGAGCAGAAAGACACAGTGCTATTATGAGGATATACAATATAATTAACAAATACAGGAACATCACTTTAAGACCTTGATGGCATCATGTTATTCTACGAACACCAGTGGTGTATCTACATGATGGGGGTGGGGGGCAGACTCCTAAAATAAAGGGTTGCCTACCCCACTAAAAATTTGCAATCCAAAAAAATTTACGGAAAGGAAAATGCTTTAAAGAATATGTTGATGTTGACAAAAATAATGATTTTACCTACTTGCTCTTAGATCTCTTGTGTTTGTTAATTGTGTTATATACAGTGGACCCCTCTAATTCCAAGATCTCTCTAATTCAAGACCACTTTTTGATAGAGCCAATTAACAATCTTCAATGTTTTAAGACAAAGCTAATCCTCTGAGTGGGTACGGAAACCTAAGACAAGCCCAAATTTTCAGGTCCCAAATGTGGTCTCGATTTGAAGGGGGAATTGTATGGCTACCAGTGGCATATCCAGGAATTTGAAATAGAGGGGGCCCAGAGAGGTAATTTCAAAGATGGAGGGTCTATAATACCTTAGCCCCACAATGGTTGGGACTGAGGTAAGAAAATTTATGATTATGGAACCTCTAGATGGCTGGAAATGGCACTCTTATACTTAAAATTTGAGTAGTATTTTCTTTTTTTAAATTTTTTGTTTTGTTTTGAAAAAATTTAGGTTGGGGGGGGGGGTGCATGCTGGCAAGGCCCCCTCCCCCTTGAATCCATGACTGGCAACGTTTTAGAATGCTTCAAAGACCTAGGACAGTATTTCAAATAAAATGTTATTACTGTGTGTTGATAGGCTGAATGTGGTGTAGTTATGCAAGGCACATTGTAGGCTGAAATGCCAATGCACTGCAGCATTATGAAATACTTATCCAAGGGTCGAGTGATATGTTTTATAGGTGTCTAATCCAATGACCAGGACAATAATGGGAAATGAGTTAGAGGTATGATGACGTAAAACTGACATTATCATTATTAAAATCATCATTTTTATTATTACATTATTATTATTATCATTACTTTTATTATTTTTAAAAATTATGATTTATAAAATTGGTCGGCATTATTGTCAGTCGTATGACTATTATGGGATTAAATATAAATAAAAAATCTTAATTTCTGTCTGGAATCATGATGTATTTGTCTTGCCACACAAGAGATTGGGTGTATTC